CAGTGTGTAGGTGATCAGGTACAGAAATTGAATAAACAAATGTAATATTGCATATTCCTCACTGCATAAATTAAATATAGATGAATCATTGTTAATGCTACAAAAGTTTATCAGTCAAGAGCATTGAGTGTTTTTTTTGTTTGTTTTAGTATGAACATTAAGTACACTGACAGCAGTGAGGTCACTTTAGATATGCATGCGTCCAATATATTGATACATATACGATTTTTCTCAACTTTTTACTTTCAATTATGATATAACTGACTGTTTTCGAGGATATGCTCCAAGACAGGTATTTTATTATTATTGTCCAGCCCTGGTTAAGTACTTTTTTTTCTTCCCTCAAAGTCTCAAGGCTACAGTTAAGTGCAAATCAATGTTTTTAATACACACTAAATTAATCCAAACTAAAAACCCAAGTGTGAGATTTTTAATATTGCTTTAATGTTCTGTACAGCTGATATTGACATGACACTAAGTTTGACATTTAATTTTACAGCGATCAGTTGCCCCACATTTACAAGATGGTTCATTGGACCTCTTCTCATAATTTTAAGTAAGTATTCAGAGACTCAGCCTTATGGGTAGTACAAGCAGCCTAGCATATCTGTACATATGACTGGAGCTCAAACCTGGCTCATGTCACCCTACACTTTTCTCACTCTTTTTCTTTCATATCTGTACTATCGTCTTATAATAAGGACCTAAAATCAAATAAAAATAACTCGTACAAAATTTACTTAAGATTTGATGTTTCAAATAACTATTTAACTGTTCAAAATAAAAGTATCAAAAGACTGAAAAGAATACTCTAATGTGATGTTTCTGTCAGGAGTCAGGTTTGATCTTTGTCTCTCTTTTCTAACTTTTGCTCTTTTTTTCTATTGGCTGCGCTCAGCTGATTGTTTCTTCTTTCCTTTCATTTTTCTGCTATAGTGTGCTTTGTTTCGTTGAGAGATTATTTTGTACTGTCTGCTCATACATGTGTCCTGTCCTGTCGTATCAAAATCCTACTTGTGTCCTCCTATATTAATGGCTTGCTATTGGTGCATGTTTCTTCTTTCCTTTCATTTTTCTGCTATAGTGTGCTTTGTTTCGTTGAGAGATTATTTTGTACTGTCTGCTCATACATGTGTCCTGTCCTGTCATATCAAGATCCTACTTGTGTCCACCTATATTAATGGCTTGCTATTTGATTTAGCTCCGTCTTGTTCTCTGCCCAGTTTTACCTGCCTGCTGCACATCATTCTCTGTCCCCGGATTGTCTGCCTGGTTTTGACTTGTGCCTGCCAACTGGTTTCTGCGCTTGCCTTTTCCTCTGGATTTGTTTATCTTTATTGGGCTGTTGATGTCTGCCGAGTCCAGCCTTCCCGTCTGCGCTCCCCTGTCCACCGTGTTCTCCAGGTCCGCCTCATCAGCCGGTGACCCGCTGACTGTCTCAGCTGCTTTTCTTTTGTTCAGCAAACGTTCTCAAATGCCTTTTTTAAGCTTTTTTATTTGTAGTCCATTATATTTGAGCTAAATATAATTCATATAACGTCCTTTTTTTTTTAAATGTATGTTTTGGTAGTGTATGCAATAGACATGTATGCAATGTTTTAATAAAGTTGGATTATATGAACTTGTATGGCATTTTTCCTCTTTAAAGTTTCATAGCAGGTTTTATGTTTAAAAAGAACAATTAATGATTAACAGTATTTGAAAAAGTATTACATATTTATCTTGTGTTTGATTATTAAGAGATTCGCCACAAAAAAAATAAAAAATAAAATAAGATGCAGAAAAGGTAATATATATAATCTGGCATAAAAATAAATGTGGTCGGAACGTCGTCTCGCAGTTGCTGAATGTCGCGTAACAACGTTGCTACAGCCCTTTCGCGTCTTACAATTCAACGTTGCTACAATGTCGGGAGCACGTAGACAGTGACGTTGACACAACGTAAATGTGTTTGTTGGGAGCCTGCATATCAATGGCTCAAGCCTCTGTTATCAGCTCTAAAATTACGTTTTGAAATTTGCAACGGAAGGTTTGGGATGAGGTGCGTAAAAACATTAGTTCAACCCACACGAGATTTCAGGACGGAAACATGTCAAATGTCTTGAAACAAATGATCTGAACAATGTCTTGATGTGTGGTTGGGACTCCAGGCCGTTAAAATTATTAGAGAAATAATGCACTCCCGGAGGTGGTTATGTGGCCACGACTATATGGTATGGTCTTTCTCAGTTCTCAAACAAATTAAGAA